GTAAAGATGGAGTTACACAAATTAAATATTGAAATAAATGAAATAGATTAGTGAAATTTTATTTTATTTAAAAAAAATATTTTATGATGGTTTTTCATATTGTAACTGATGAAACTGTAACAAAATCTATGCATAAAAAAAGACAATGAAAATAAAATGGAAATAAATTTAAAATCAAAATCAAGTAATTACTCAGTAAGTTACAACGGAAAACCAGGTTTCCTGAACCAATCCCACAACAAACAGACTGTGGCTTACAGAAGACTTTGTTCCACGCTCAGAAAAAGAAAGCAGCAGACACTTCACAGTTCAAATGAGCAGTGCAATATCGACGTGGGAGTACAGCAACCTTCAAAACCGCCATAGAGGGCATGATCAATATTTAATCAGCTCCTAAAGAGATACAGTGGGTACGGAAAGTATTCAGACCCCCTTAAATTTTTCACTCTGTTATATTGCAGCCATTTGCTAAAATCATTTAAGTTAATGTTTTTTTCCTCATTAATGTACACACAGCACCCCATATTGACAGAAAAACACAGAATTGTTGACATTTTTGCAGATTTATTAAAAAAGAAAAACTGAAATATCACATGGTCCTAAGTATTCAGACCCTTTGCTCAGTATTTAGTAGAAGCACCCTTTTGAACTAATACAGCCATGAGCTGTGATTTCTTAAATCGGTTAACACCTGTATTGATCCACCGCTGGAGGCTTTCCCAGCCTCGTTAATCTTAAACTGCTTTCTGTGCTGGTGGTCTATCACTATATAATGGATGTTCTGGCAAGGAGAACCCCAGTTTGGTATTGACTACACTGTAGTTTGCACAGTTGACAGCGTATGAAATTCCTGTAAAGGGAAATATGTAAATCAAAGCAATACATAGTAAAAAAAAAAGAAAAAAAGAAAAATAATTTAAACAGGTAGATTCCTCTTGCGTGATACCAGGGCATTTCTAGTTCACTCAAATAGATTTTTAGCCCATTTTACTGTCCACCAGGTGAAAAAAACAAATCTCAAGTTAAAATGCTTTTAAAGGAATAGTTCACCAAATAATGAAAATTTGCAAAAAATATTAATGCATAAAAGACTTGTATTTTTAGCTGGAAGCAATGATTTGATGTTAAAACTGACTTGATGGATTTGTTTCTTAATTGCTGGACTGGAGTGGTGTAGATTACTGTGATGTTTTTATCAGCTGTTTGGACTCTGACGGCACCCATTCACTGCAGAGCATCCATTGCTGAGCAAGTGATGCAATGCTAAAATAATAGCATGCATAACAGAAAATAATATAGACAACTGTGAATAATACTGTGCTTTATAAAAGTGGATATACAAAATTTTACAATGACAACTCATTTACAAGTTTAAAAAAACATACAAAAATAACTATATACATTCCCGTATTCCAACAAAATATTTGGCGATATACTTGGCAATGCAATATATACAAAATGTTGATTCGCCATTGTTATATCTTTAGATATATACCCCCGGTTTCACAGACGAGGCTTAAGCCTAGTCTTAGACTAAAATGTAAATCTGAGCTGTTTCAGCTGAAAGAAACTTGCACTGACTGATGTTAAAACATGTCAGTGCCTTAGTTTTGTCTTAAGATGCACACCAGAAATGCTTTTTTCTAAGACATGTTTATAAAAATGACTTAAATGTCCTAATTGAACTATGACTTAATCCTGGCTTAGACTAAGCCCTGTCTATGAAACCGGGCCATAATATCTAAAAGTGTTGGACAACCTGTGCTGTAACAGAAGGCTCTACTTATTTTTCATTCATCTCATGTAATCCCACAAAACTCATTCACCAAGTCTATAAATGATATGACAAAATATAAACAGTGAAACACCTTATAAATGTGCAAGGCAGGTAGAGAAAATAACAACCACTGGGTGGCGCTAGCTTCTTATCTGTATATAGAAATCGAAATATCATTAATTTAGTCTCAACCAGGGAGGTGTAAAAACTTTTTACTTGTCAAATGTCAAAGACCATTACTGAATAGAGATAGAAATCATAAAACGTTATAAATGAAATTTCACTTATTGCACTAGTGGTCGACCAATATATCAACAAGGCCAATATTTGATATTTTTAAATGATCAGTATTGTTGACTTCATCTGCTTGGTGAGTTTTGCACAATAGATTTTCGGCATAAAATCTGATGATGCAAATTATTACTTTTTTTAGGTGGGCAGCAATTGTGTGTGTGTGTGTGTAAATTACTATTAACAAATGATGTGAAACTAAATCAGCCTTTAGCCATCTTGCTCTTTAGACACCAGCATCGGATGGCAAAAAAACACTAATTAGCGCTTTAGTAATATGTGAGCTTACATATACATTTATTTTACATGTCAGACTTAGTTCACCCAAAAATTAAAATTTGCCGAAAATGGATTCACCCTCAGGCCATCAAAGATATAAAGGAGTTTGTTTCCTCATCTGACCACATTTGGAGAAATTTAGCATTACATCACTTGCTCACCAATGGATCAACTGCAGTCGCTTCTGGCCAAAATACGAGCATAATTCATAAAAACACTTCCTCCCTCCAATGAAAAAGTCCATCCCTGCTGTCCTCTCACATTAAAATCCATTTGTTTACAATTGTTTTTGCTTTGTAAATGGTGCTTAATCTGTGCATATTTCTCTCCTGATTCAGACTAAATGACTTTTTCACTGAAAAAGCAATTTTATGGATAGAGGACTCATATTTTAGCCATAAGAAACATTTTTAAAGTTAAAAATGTGGATGGATTTGCTTCACAGCTTTTTGCTTCACAAGATGGTAACTGGTGGTGTGGATTATTGTGATGTTTTTATCAGCTGTTTGGACTCTCATTCTGACGGCACCCATTCACTGCAGAGGATCCATTGCTGAGCAAGTGATTTAATGTTTCATTTCTCTATATCTGTTCCCATCAAAAAACAAAATAATACTGTGCTTTATAAAAGTGGATATACAAAATTTTACAATGACAACTCATTTACAAGTTTAAAAAAACATACAAAAATAACTATATACATTCCCGTATTCCAACAAAATATTTGGCGATATACTTGGCAATGCAATATATACAAAATGTTGATTCGCCATTGTTATATCTTTAGATATATACCCCCGGTTTCACAGACGAGGCTTAAGCCTAGTCTTAGACTAAAATGTAAATCTGAGCTGTTTCAGCTGAAAGAAACTTGCACTGACTGATCTTAAAACATGTCAGTGCCTTAGTTTTGTCTTAAGATGCACACCAGAAATGCTTTTTTCTAAGACATGTTTATAAAAAATGACTTAAATGTCCTAATTGAACTATGACTTAATCCTGGCTTAGACTAAGCCCTGTCTATGAAACCGGGCCATAATATCTAAAAGTGTTGGACAACCTGTGCTGTAACAGAAGGCTCTACTTATTTTTCATTCATCTCATGTAATCCCACAAAACTCATTCACCAAGTCTATAAATGATATGACAAAATATAAACAGTGAAACACCTTATAAATGTGCAAGGCAGGTAGAGAAAATAACAACCACTGGGTGGCGCTAGCTTCTTATCTGTATATAGAAATCGAAATATCATTAATTTAGTCTCAACCAGGGAGGTGTAAAAACTTTTTACTTGTCAAATGTCAAAGACCATTACTGAATAGAGATAGAAATCATAAAACGTTATAAATGAAATTTCACTTATTGCACTAGTGGTCGACCAATATATCAACAAGGCCAATATTTGATATTTTTAAATGATCAGTATTGTTGACTTCATCTGCTTGGTGAGTTTTGCACAATAGATTTTCGGCATAAAATCTGATGATGCAAATTATTACTTTTTTTAGGTGGGCAGCAATTGTGTGTGTGTGTGTGTAAATTACTATTAACAAATGATGTGAAACTAAATCAGCCTTTAGCCATCTTGCTCTTTAGACACCAGCATCGGATGGCAAAAAAACACTAATTAGCGCTTTAGTAATATGTGAGCTTACATATACATTTATTTTACATGTCAGACTTCCATATTAAAGGAATAGTTCACCCAAAAATTAAAATTTGCCGAAAATGGATTCACCCTCAGGCCATCAAAGATATAAAGGAGTTTGTTTCCTCATCTGACCACATTTGGAGAAATTTAGCATTACATCACTTGCTCACCAATGGATCAACTGCAGTCGCTTCTGGCCAAAATACGAGCATAATTCATAAAAACACTTCCTCCCTCCAATGAAAAAGTCCATCCCTGCTGTCCTCTCACATTAAAATCCATTTGTTTACAATTGTTTTTGCTTTGTAAATGGTGCTTAATCTGTGCATATTTCTCTCCTGATTCAGACTAAATGACTTTTTCACTGAAAAAGCAATTTTATGGATAGAGGACTCATATTTTAGCCATAAGAAACATTTTTAAAGTTAAAAATGTGGATGGATTTGCTTCACAGCTTTTTGCTTCACAAGATGGTAACTGGTGGTGTGGATTATTGTGATGTTTTTATCAGCTGTTTGGACTCTCATTCTGACGGCACCCATTCACTGCAGAGGATCCATTGCTGAGCAAGTGATTTAATGTTTCATTTCTCTATATCTGTTCCCATCAAAAAACAAACTCATCTACATCTTGGATGGCCTGAGGGTGAGTACATTTTCAGTTTTGGGTAATTTATTCCTTTTTATTTTAAAAATAATGCAACAAATGTCTTCTTTATCTGTTTTTTGATGGGAAGGGAAGTCGTGGCCTAATGGTTAGAGAGTCGGACTCATAACCCAAAGGTTGTGGGTTCGAGTCTCGTACCGGCAGGGATTGTAGGGGGGGGAGTGAATGTACAGTGCTCTCTCCCACCTTCAATACCACGACTGAGGTGCCCTTGAGCAAGGCACCGAACCCCCAACTGCTCCCCGGGCTGCCCACTGCTCCGGGTGTGTGTTCACGGTTTGTGTGTGTTCACTGCTGTGTGTGTGCACTTTGGATGGGTAAATGCAGAGCACTAATTCTGAGTATGGGTCACCATACTTGGCCACATGTCACTTCACTCACTTAACATTACACTGCATTTAGGAATTTGCAAATGTGTTTATCTAAACGTATAACATTTGATCAGTAAAACATCCAATCAGAAGGCACACGGGCTGCTCTCCTGCACTGACCGCAGAGCTTCCTTGCCGTCCTCTTGCTGGCAGGATATACAGACCTCTTCTTGAGAAAGCGGCACCGGAGCTTCAACATGGGGTGTTTGTGCAGATGTGTTGAGAGGGATGGAGCAGGACGCTGCGGTCGGGTTCAGCTGGCAGTTGAAGGTGGCCGTGATGCTGAGATTGACCATGGGGCTGGAGACAGACGGTGGCTCCGGTATGGACTCCTGACTCGTGCGCTCCAGCCAGTCAGCGCTGCTGTGACTTGAGTCTGGCTGACTCTGGCTGTCCGATGAAGTCATGGACGGCTCCTTCTGGCACCTGTCGACGGGTAACAGACGCTGATAATCAGGTGTGCTGCTTGCCGAGGCGTCCTGTTCTAGCTGAAGAGAACAAGAGACGGGAAAGCGATGAAATGAATATGCCAAAATGAAATGTATGAATGAAATGCATTTAATAATTTGTGACTTTTCAGTGCGTTAAATCTCTTTTTTTGGCAACCTGCTTAAAGGGATAGTTCACCCAAAAATGAAAATTTGATGTTTATCTGCTTACTCCCAGGGCATCCAAGATGTAGGTGACTTTGTTGCAGTCTGTCAGTCATATAATGACAGTCAATGGGTCCCAGAGCTTTGAGAGTTCAAAAAACATACACAGACAAAACCAAATTAAACCCTGCGGCTCGTGACGATATTAAAAACATTAAGTACACAATTATTGTCTTTTTTTTTTATGAAAATACTTTTTTGATTCAAATCAAAGTTTGTAATATTGTGATTCATTGCATAGCTGGTTGGTTTGTTTTATTGCATATAACTGTTTAACAAACACTTTTAAAAAATCCTTTTGGGAAAAATACTTCCGGAATCAAAGCTGTTGAAAAAGTGGGCGGACAGTGTTGCACTCTATTAAATGTCACTTTGTAATAGTTTATTCTGATTGGTTGATTCAAACATCTTTGCATGGTTTCCATGGTAACACCTTGGTACTTCTATATGGGTTGTAAACTAAATTCTAGTAGCATGGCCTCATATTTACCAGTGAAGTAGATCATGTCATCTTGACCCACTGGTGTGCTTGATATCGCTCTACTCGATGGAGCTAGAGATGAGGTGGTGGTGGTGTTCATGCGCTGCATTTCCTGCGTTTGGCCCCTAAAATTACTCGGTTTTGGGCGAGTAGGCTTGGGTGCACTCTGAAGAGGAGCCTTTGTTGTTGTTGCTGTTGATGGTGGTATCATCTCACACAGTGTGTCAACTGTAGAGTTGCCGGATCTTAAAACTGACCTGCCTTCACATCTAACAGAGAAAAAGACAAATAAGCCATATGCATGTGTGTGTATTTGTAAGTAATGAGTCTTTCTTTCCATTTGCATCTTACTGTGTGTGTGGTTTACACCGATCAGTATTACTGCGGTTTGAAAACATTCCAGACGGACACGGCATACACTTGACATCAGATGAAATTGATCCTGCATTCACAAACACACCACAATGATGATAGCATGTATAACTGGCCTATTAAAACAAATGTTCAAATAATGCATCAAATGACTTGATGTATTTGACTGGATAATTTGATGTATTTCCCAATGAAAATGCAAGTTTGGGGCACGGAGATATATTTTTAAATAGCCAATAATTGGACATCATTTCCTATTTGTGACCCTGGACCACAAAACCAGTCATAAGGGTCCATTTTTTGAAATTGAGATTTATAATTCATCTGAAAAAATATTTTTTTTGTGATAGGACAATATTTGTGCAAAAAAATCTAAATATTGAGAAAATCGCCTTTAAAGTTGTCCAAATGAAGTTCTTAGCAATGCATATTACTAATCAAAAATTAAGTTTTGATATATTTACGGTACGAAATTTACAAAATATCTTCATGGAACATGATCTTTAATATCCTAATGATTTTTGGCATGAAAGAAAATTCATTGGCATGAATTTTTTGGCTACTGCTAAAAATAAACCCAAGCGACTTTATTAAAAACATTAAGTACACAATTATTGTCTTTTTTTTATTTTTATGAAAATACTTTTTTGCTTCAAATCAAACTTTGTAATATTGTGATTCATTGCATAGCTGGTTGGTTTGTTTTATTGCATATAACTGTTTAACAAACACTTTTAAAAAATCCTTTTGGGAAAAATACTTCCGGAATCAAAGCTGTTGAAAAAGTGGGCGGACAGTGTTGCACTCTATTAAATGTCACTTTGTAATACTTTATTCTGATTGGTTGATTCAAACATCTTTGCATGGTTTCCATGGTAACACCTTGGTAATTCTATATGGGTTGTAAACTAAATTCTAGTAGCATGGCCTCATATTTACCAGTGAAGTAGATCATGTCATCTTGACCCACTGGTGTGCTTGATATCGCTCTACTCGATGGAGCTAGAGATGAGGTGGTGGTGGTGTTCATGCGCTGCATTTCCTGCGTTTGGCCCCTAAAATTACTCGGTTTTGGGCGAGTAGGCTTGGGTGCACTCTGAAGAGGAGCCTTTGTTGTTGTTGCTGTTGATGGTGGTATCATCTCACACAGTGTGTCAACTGTAGAGTTGCCGGATCTTAAAACTGACCTGCCTTCACATCTAACAGAGAAAAAGACAAATAAGCCATATGCATGTGTGTGTATTTGTAAGTAATGAGTCTTTCTTTCCATTTGCATCTTACTGTGTGTGTGGTTTACACCGATCAGTATTACTGCGGTTTGAAAACATTCCAGACGGACACGGCATACACTTGACATCAGATGAAATTGATCCTGCATTCACAAACACACCACAATGATGATAGCATGTATAACTGGCCTATTAAAACAAATGTTCAAATAATGCATCAAATGACTTGATGTATTTGACTGGATAATTTGATGTATTTCCCAATGAAAATGCAAGTTTGGGGCACGGAGATATATTTTTAAATAGCCAATAATTGGACATCATTTCCTATTTGTGACCCTGGACCACAAAACCAGTCATAAGGGTCCATTTTTTGAAATTGAGATTTATAATTCATCTGAAAAAATATTTTTTTTGTGATAGGACAATATTTGTGCAAAAAAATCTAAATATTGAGAAAATCGCCTTTAAAGTTGTCCAAATGAAGTTCTTAGCAATGCATATTACTAATCAAAAATTAAGTTTTGATATATTTACGGTACGAAATTTACAAAATATCTTCATGGAACATGATCTTTAATATCCTAATGATTTTTGGCATGAAAGAAAATTCATTGGCATGAATTTTTTGGCTACTGCTAAAAATAAACCCAAGCGACTTAAGACTGGTTTTGTGGTCCAGGGTCACATTTGTGGAGTGTAGATAGTAAGGGGAGGGGTATTTGAATACTAGAGAGCATTTTATTGGAAAAAAGTTCAATGAGTCATCAATATTTTTTTCCCAGAAGAAGATACTTTCGTCATTTGAATTTTGTCAACTTTTACTTGTTTAGATGCGTTTAAAGCTAACAGGCATAGGCTAAAAGCTACACAACTCCAATTCTGACCACACATTTCTAAGTGTTTGTGTACAGTAGCTAGATTATTTTGCCTCTTACCTTCTTTGATGACATATTCACCAGGTTTGCAGGATCTATATTTTCTACATTCCTCACATTCTTTATTGAAATTACGCTTAGAACATAACATCCCGGGCTTGCAAACACAAACAGCTTTGGTATCAGCAGAGCAATTTGTGCCATACATCAGTCCTTTCACTAACAAGAAGAAATGGACAGCAACATGTTAAGTCTTTTAAAAATTCAATGGAAAAAGGCAATATTATAATAATACAAGTAAAAGGTTCCATTTGTTAACATTAGTTAACATGAACTAAGGATGAAAATACTTCTAAAGCATTTATTCATCTTAGTTCATGTTAATTTCAACATAATATATTATTAAATGGACCTAAATTAAACTAATAATGAACAGTTATATTTTTATAAACTAACAAAGATGAATAAAAACTGTAACAAAAGTATTGCTCATTGTTAATGCATTAACTAACATTAACTAATGGGATGTTATTGTAAACTGTTACTGTAAATTCATAAGAGACTGTGATATAAAACTACATGGTAAAACAAATCAGCATGTTTATGTTTAATCTGTACATTTATATTTTATAATACAATTTGGATTGAATTTTCTAAATGGAATATTTTATACATACTGTAGCTTTGTGTGAGGAACAGTCAGAAATTGAACCCTTTTCTCCTCTACATGTTCATATTCAGATTGCACAAATGAGGTTTAAACAGAAGACTACAGATTATACTTGAAATATAGTGCAAGTCATATGGTGAATATATATATATATTTTTTGTAGCCTCTGGTCACCATTCACTTTCATTGAAAAGAAAAGTGTGCTAAACTTCTCATTTTGTGGTTTATTGAAGAATTAAACTCGTAAGGGTTTGTAAGGGCAAGAGTGTAAGTAAATTATGACTGAATTTAATTTCTTTAAGACATATACAAATTCCAGATTAATACTGAAACAAGACTTTGTCATTGTGGAGTGCTTCGTTAAAAGAGCCAACTTACCATCTTTACACTTTGGACAAGAAAAACAGTTGGAAAAATGGTTCATGTTTTCAGAGTACTGTCCATCTTGGCAGGGTTCACAGATGGTGTCCGAATTACTAGTGCACATAACCGCCTGATGAGTCCCTAGAATAAATATAAACGATTCAGAACTTGGAATTGCTTCTAAACATCACAAAAACAGTGATAGTTTGGTCTCGTAAACCAACAAGTAATGAGTTTATGAACACAAATGTTTACATAACAAATGTTCAAATAATGCATCAAATGACTTGATGTATTTGACTGGATAATTTGATGTATTTCCCAATGAAAATGCAAGTTTGGGGCACGGAGATATATTTTTAAATAGCCAATAATTGGACATCATTTCCTATTTGTGACCCTGGACCACAAAACCAGTCATAAGGGTCCATTTTTTGAAATTGAGATTTATAATTCATCTGAAAAAATATTTTTTTTGTGATAGGACAATATTTGTGCAAAAAAATCTAAATATTGAGAAAATCGCCTTTAAAGTTGTCCAAATGAAGTTCTTAGCAATGCATATTACTAATCAAAAATTAAGTTTTGATATATTTACGGTACGAAATTTACAAAATATCTTCATGGAACATGATCTTTAATATCCTAATGATTTTTGGCATGAAAGAAAATTCATTGGCATGAATTTTTTGGCTACTGCTAAAAATAAACCCAAGCGACTTAAGACTGGTTTTGTGGTCCAGGGTCACATTTGTGGTTATAGTAAGTGTAGATATTAAGGGGAGGGGCATTTGAATACTAGAGAGCATTTTATTGGACAAAAGTTCAATGAGTCATCAATATTTTTTTCCCAGAAGAAGATACTTTCGTCATTTGAATTTTGTCAACTTTTACTTGTTTAGATGCGTTTAAAGCTAACAGGCATAGGCTAAAAGCTACACAACTCCAATTCTGACCACACATTTCTAAGTGTTTGTGTACAGTAGCTAGATTATTTTGCCTCTTACCTTCTTTGATGACATATTCACCAGGTTTGCAGGATCTATATTTTCTACATTCCTCACATTCTTTATTGAAATTACGCTTAGAACATAACATCCCGGGCTTGCAAACACAAACAGCTTTGGTATCAGCAGAGCAATTTGTGCCATACATCAGTCCTTTCACTAACAAGAAGAAATGGACAGCAACATGTTAAGTCTTTTAAAAATTCAATGGAAAAAGGCAATATTATAATAATACAAGTAAAAGGTTCCATTTGTTAACATTAGTTAACATGAACTAAGGATGAAAATACTTCTAAAGCATTTATTCATCTTAGTTCATGTTAATTTCAACATAATATATTATTAAATGGACCTAAATTAAACTAATAATGAACAGTTATATTTTTATAAACTAACAAAGATGAATAAAAACTGTAACAAAAGTATTGCTCATTGTTAATGCATTAACTAACATTAACTAATGGGATGTTATTGTAAACTGTTACTGTAAATTCATAAGAGACTGTGATATAAAACTACATGGTAAAACAAATCAGCATGTTTATGTTTAATCTGTACATTTATATTTTATAATACAATTTGGATTGAATTTTCTAAATGGAATATTTTATACATACTGTAGCTTTGTGTGAGGAACAGTCAGAAATTGAACCCTTTTCTCCTCTACATGTTCATATTCAGATTGCACAAATGAGGTTTAAACAGAAGACTACAGATTATACTTGAAATATAGTGCAAGTCATATGGTGAATATATATATATATTTTTTGTAGCCTCTGGTCACCATTCACTTTCATTGAAAAGAAAAGTGTGCTAAACTTCTCATTTTGTGGTTTATTGAAGAATTAAACTCGTAAGGGTTTGTAAGGGCAAGAGTGTAAGTAAATTATGACTGAATTTAATTTCTTTAAGACATATACAAATTCCAGATTAATACTGAAACAAGACTTTGTCATTGTGGAGTGCTTCGTTAAAAGAGCCAACTTACCATCTTTACACTTTGGACAAGAAAAACAGTTGGAAAAATGGTTCATGTTTTCAGAGTACTGTCCATCTTGGCAGGGTTCACAGATGGTGTCCGAATTACTAGTGCACATAACCGCCTGATGAGTCCCTAGAATAAATATAAACGATTCAGAACTTGGAATTGCTTCTAAACATCACAAAAACAGTGATAGTTTGGTCTCGTAAACCAACAAGTAATGAGTTTATGAACACAAATGTTTACATTCTCTCCCACGCTCCCCTTGGTTTATGACATACCTGGTTTGCATCTACTGCAGCACAATCCCAGGTTTTTGGCGTAATATTCAAAGGCTGTATTACATGGTCCAGATGATCTATATGGCGGAGGTGTCTGTGAAAACAAAGAGGGAAAAGCCAAAAATATCAGTGACATTTTCCTTGGATTCTCAGGAACAGATACTTGTCTTGTGAACGAAACACTACCCACCACTTCCTCATAGTCACAATATATGTCTTCTCTTTAAATCTTTTCTCAGGGATGCTAATGCTGCTACAAGGCTATTTAGCGTAGGACAGTTTATTTAGCGCAGGCGTTTGCACAAGGTTCACAGACATGAAATATGTCAAAAACAGACAAAGCAAGCACAAATATCCATTTGCACTGAAAACGCTGATGTGATAGTTTCAGATCTGCACTTGTCAGCTACAACAAAGAAGCTCAGTAACAAGTGACAGACTTGGATGATATTTAGTCATTTGGCAGTTTAACAGAAACATTCCCTTTCGTGTCAGCAAGAAGCTACTCATTTCTGTGCATTGCTTTTTTTTTTTTTTCAACAACAATTTTGAAAAATAAGCTTTTGTAAAATAATATCTGAAAAAATTTAATTGTTATATAAATCTTAGCATAATAGCAGTCAACAGCAATCCTGATCACTACCCTATCGCCACTAATTTGACACATTCAGATCTGCGATACCATTTGGGTTTTTCCATGCTGTTGCTGATGTAAATATAGGGAAATGGGACATACAGAGTTTTCCTGATATAAAACACTTATGTTGGCACAATATTTACTCATCTGAAAATGTTAAAGGGGTCATATGATGCGATTTCAATTTTTCCTTTCTCTTCGGAGTGTTACAAGCTCTTGGTGCATAAAGAAGATCTGTAAAGTTGCAAAGACTAAAGTCTCAAATCCAAAGAGATATTCTTTATAAAAGTTAAGAGTCAGCCACACCCTCCTAAAACGGCTCGTTCTAACACGCCCCCACATGTCTACCTCACTATGTGGGAAGATTTGCATAACGCCGCCCAAATGTTCACGCAAAGAAAGAAGGCATAACTTTTAGTCTCACTGTAGTATTGTTGCCGCCGCCGCCATGTTGTAAATACGCTGTGTGCATCACAGTATGTTAAGGGGCGTAACATTTCCATCTCACGCTTGAGGTATTCGGCCAATCACAACGCATTGGATAGCTGGCCAATCACAGCACACCTCGCTTTTTCAGACCGATGAGCTTTGTAAAAATTGATGCGTTTCAGAAAGGCGGGGCATAGAGGAGAAACGATAATGTACAGTATGTGGAAAATAATGTGTTTTTTTTACTTTAAACCGCATAAACACATTACACCAAATACACAAAATAATGTTCTTTTTAGCAACATCATATGACCCCTTTAATGCAAATTTGCATTATCACATTGTCAAGCTGGTCAGTAGGATTCGGAAATGACAGAATGAAGAGTAACTGACATCATATTCGACTGTCCTTTAACCTACGCAGTGAAGAGGTGGACCACACGCATGGTATTTCTGCAGTGGAAACTGATGTGAACCGATACGAATAGCCAAAATGGGCCAAGGGCAATGGAGAGTGGCAAAGAATAAAGACTGATATTTTTTACCTCTAATGACCTTCTGACCACTATACCGAGTCTATCCTGACAGATTTGCATGCATACAGAGACTCTGCGGTGTCCATGTGCGGTAAGTGTCCATGCAGAACTCCAAATGAATGTAAACATGATCAACACTGACAGAAGGGGAGGAAGGCGGAGCGGAGGAGATCAAAAGCAGAAGTGAAATCAGAAGGAAATGACTGTTAACTAGCTAAATAATAACGTGCAAATTAGTGAGGGAGAAATAATAATGACTGGGAAACTCGGATCGGGAAACCAGAAAAACTCTTCAGAGGAAAAGCAAAGGGACTTTTGCAAAATGTTGGGAACTTTTTGACTGCTCTAAAAGTCCAGCTTGAATTTGTTTATCTGTTTGCAGAACTTGCCACAGATCAAATTTGCCAAGAGGTCATTTATGATATTAAATGATATGAATAGCATATTTGTGTGGAAGGAATAAAAAAATAAAAGAAAGGTAGTTGTGACTTTTTAATCGGAATTGCACGTTTACATCTCTCAGTTCTGAGTTTTTATCTCAGAATTGAGTGATATAAAGTCCGTATTGCAGGATATGAACTCTTCTCGCAATTTTGACTTCTTTTCTCAGAATTGTGATATAACATCACAATTGCGAGATATAAAGTTCTGAGGACAAAAAAAAACAGACTATAAAGTTACAAAGTCAGAACTTTCTGTTATAAAGTCAGAATTCTGAGTTTATATCACATAATTCTGAGAAACAATTGCAAGAAAAAGTCAGAATTTTGAGATAAAAAGTCAGAAATTGCTTCCATATTTGAAATAGAGTCTAGTAGAATTTTTATATATACATATATATATACACTGTATATATATATTTTTTAGACTGTTTGATATCCACTAAAGTGAATCTTACAAAACCTATCCAGGTCACATTTACCTCAGAATCTATGTAAAAAAAAAAATTATGTTTAAAGAAATTATTATGTTTATGCATGTTTATTAAAATTATGCATATTTTTTTGCAGCAGTCAAGAGTAAATGTTTATTTGCAGTGAGTTCCCATGGAAACAAGTGTTTTGATGCAGTCAAATTTAACATTAAATCACTACAAATCACATTTGACATTCAAAGGCTTAGGATTTCCCATGACTCCCAGTGCGAACCCTCAAATGGTTAAAGATGGATTCAGCATAATCCCTCATAGATTGTTCAATCCGTATCAGCACTATTACTGATCTCTGAATCTAAAAAGGAAGTTGCTGGAGAATTGCGCTTTCCGCCGCAGACCAAAATGCACAGAATGATTTAAGAGTTGTCGTAATCGAAAGACACACTCACTTTATATGGTGGGTTCTTACAAATGACTCATTTATAATTGACTAGAAGAAACTGTCTGAGATGAAAGGGCTACCATTAAAGACGACTTCAAATACAAATTTCAGCTTATGAAAATAATTTCTGCAAGAAATGCACATCCTGATATAATCGAACAGATTAGACGTTACGAAAAATGACTGCATCATCTCTAAAACCACTGACGTCTTCTCAAACGCTCAAGATGTTAAGAGGAAATTGCTGAGGTGTGTTACTGGGAAACAACCCACATATACAGGCCAGCAGACTTCCTCCATGCAACAGTGTGCTTTACTGAAGAACAGAGCCTTTCTCTGAGCAGATTACACCAACACGCCCAAACACATTTACACACTGAATGCCAAAAGCACACATGTATTTCTTGTTAAAAATGCATGCAGCCTACCAAGATCATTCAGTAATCTGTACATGAATCTTTTTATTATTTAAGCAACTGCACGCTCTTTGTTCTGAGCTTCAGCACGTTTCTCAGTCACAGCAGGTTTATTTCCCCATGACTTATAGATCATGTAAGTGGTATTACAACAAGTAGAGCAAGTGGAACCTGAGGCGTAACTTTTTAAAGAGTTGACTAAAGGGACAGAAACACAGAAAACAAGGCTGCTTAACAACACTTCATTTACATGCTCGCTTGATATGTGGTAAAGTATGCAGATGTGTTCTAGTTAAACTGCATTATACGTGAACTCCCCACCTTCTCAATCTAGACCACAAGAAAAACTAGCTAGAAAAACGACTTGACATTACTGGATCCTTACTTTCTTGACAGCACTTGCGTGATGCCCAGAGATGCTGCACACTAGGTTATGATGGCTAAAACTGCGGTCTTTAGGGTTCATTGGGTTTTTCCTCTCGCTTATGTCAAATTATACTATATATGTAAGTACTGTAGGTGAATAGGCTTCGCCTATGCCCAAAATGTTGCCTAAATAGGCAGCACACTATGTTTCAAGATAGCTACACATACAAATAAAGGTTCTTTATTGGCATCAAAGGTTCCATAAAGAACATCCACAGAATCTTTCCATTCCACAAAAGGTTCCACAAAACTTTAAATTGTAAAAAAGTTCTACAAACTAAGAAAAAATCCCATGCCCGATCATTGCACACTTTGTTTTGCCAAAGACACTCAAAATGCTGTCTATGTAGGCAGTATATTATGCCATCTAGGTAGGCAGGTCATTCGGTTTTTCCCAAAAATATCATCTAGATTGGCAGATTGCTGGGCATTTTGCATATGCCCATTATGACAATACAGTCTATGTAGAGTGGTGCTTATGCCCAAGATGCCCAATGCTGTCTAACTAGGCAGCACACCATGTTTTAAGATACTTATGATGCTAAAAATTGCAGTTTGGTGTAGCAGTTCACTTGTTTTGCCTATATTGTGTTCAAAAATGCTGTGTAGGCACACTAGCTGTGAGATTCGTATGACGCCCAGCTCATTTTGGTTTGCCAAAGACAACCAGAAATGCTGTCTATGTAGGCCGTATATTATATTTGATGATGCCCATGCCATCTAGGTAGGCAGGTCATTTGGATTTTCATGTCGACCACCGTTCTCAAAAAAACCACACGAGCTTGCTGGGTCTAAGTAGAGTGGTGTTCATGCCCAAGATGCCCGAAATGTTTTCTAAATAGTCAGCACACTATTTTTTTTAAAGATACCCATGATGCTCAAGAGTGCAGTTTGGGTAGGTGACTCACTTTGTCAATGTTGTGCCCAAAAAATGCTGTGTGGGCACATTATTTGTGAAATAATTATGATGCCCAGCTCAATTTGTTTTGCCACACACTCAAAAATGCTGTCTATGCAGGAAGTTACTTTATGCTTTATGATCCCAAATATGCTGTACAGGAAGGCAGGTCACTAGATTTTCCATCATTCCCAACAAATATGATTTAAGTAGCTGTCCAAGATGCCCAAAACCATAAATATGCATCACGCTACGTTTTAAGTGGTCTATAATGCCTATATAAGATGTCAATACATGTAGTTCATTAGGTCACGATGACGGTGACACCCACAATGTTGTCTACGTAGGCAGCACACTAGGTTTCGCATATGTCCAATAATGCAGTCTAGGTAGAAAGTGCCCTAAAGTAGCCTATGCACGTGATATGCTTAACAGCAGGCAGCTCGCTATGATTTGAGACACCAGCCAAGCACGCAACCTCTGCTGGAAATTCCAGCAGCGCAAGAACAGAACAAAAGTGAAAATAAATATATCTTTCATTTCTACGACATTTAGAATCCGAGAATAACGTTCGTTTTTCGTTTAGTGTTTTTCAGAAGAATCTTTTCAGCTGTATCAAAACAAACTTGTGAAAGTCATGCAAGTATAAGAATGAATCATTACATTGCGTTTGTCCGCAACACATATAAACCTGTTCGTTACCTTCCCCTCCGCCACGCGCCACACCGCCGCCATAAATAATAACCGTGAGATGAGAATCAGCATTATCCTTCAACGACCCTCGCGACTGAATTCCGACTGACCATCACTCACGCTCTCCGCGTCCCGGAAATGTTGCACGGCAGTCCCCCCTGCAACCAGGAAGCGACAGTGGGTTTGACACAATCACAGAGCACTGAGAGCAGACCTCTGAAGTGAGTGAAGTGAGCGACATGAGCTCCTCCTGTACTTTGGAGTCGAAAACTCTTTAAACCTGGGAATAAGGATTTAGGGAAAATAACACTTATGAGGTGAATGAAGAAGAAATAATTGAGGTTCTGCACTGTTTCTATATTTGTGAAAATGATGTAAAAATTTCAGTTCAATCACTCAAATGTTACATATTAAATTAGAAAAATTAAAAATATAAGCATTCCACGGGCTTCATACACACATATACAGGTGCATTTCAATAAATTAGAATGTCGTGGAAAAGTTCATTTATTTCAGTAATTCAACTCAAATTGTGAAACTCGTGTATTAAATCAATTCGATGCACACAGACTGAAGTAGTTTAAGTCTTTGGTTCTTTTAATTGTGATGATTTTGGCTCACATTTAACAAAAACCCACCAATTAACTATCTCAACCAATTAGAATATGGTGACATGCCAATCAGCTAATCAACTCAAAACACCTGCAAAGGTTTCCTGAGCCTTCAAAATGGTCTCTCAGTTTGGTTCACTAGGCTACACAATCATGGGGAAGACTGCTGATCTGACAGTTGTCCAGAAGGCAATCATTGACACCCTTCACAAGGAGGGTAAGCCACAAACATTCATTGCCAAAGAAGCTGGCTGTTCACAGAGTGCTGTATCCAAGCATGTTAACAGAAAGTTGAGTGGAAGGAAAAAGTGTGGAAGAAAAAGATGCACAACCAACCGAGAGAACCGCAGCCTTATGAGGATTGTCAAGCAAAATCGATTCAAGAATTTGAGTGAACTTCACAAGGAATGGACTGAGGCTGGGGTCAAGGCATCAAGAGCCACCACACACAGACGTGTCAAGGAATGTGGCTTATTGTCAAGAGGAAAATGAGAAACAAGAGACCAAAAAATGCAGATGAGCTGAAGG